TTACCACAGCAACCGGTTTACAACAAAGACATAATGTGGTATATTCAGAAGGCAATTCCTCATTACGTCAGCATTCTTCAGCTGTGCTCTGACGTAAGTGGCGAAATGTTTTCTTTCTGCTCGGCACTTTCGTAACGGAAAGGTACAAAAATGCTCAAGGTCGCCGGCAGGAGGAGGAGGAGGGGGATTAGGCTTGTGTCCCCTCCCAAACTGAATTTTTCGGGAAAAAAAAAATCCAAACTGGAAAGAAATCTGCAAGTCTGTCAAATATCAATACTAAAAATTAAAATTATTTTTAAATATATTCTTGTGCCAAGAATATCTTAAAGCGATCAGTAGAATTAGACTTAAACGCCTTAAATGCGAGTTTCTAAGCACACTTTCTAGCTCCTTACCCCCGGGCCAAAAGTGCCCATAAAAATGCTCCTCTTACCTCCATCACGTCTGTGTGTCTGTCTCCCTGTCCGCGAATAACTCGAAAAGAGTCAAACGAATTTTTGTGGAATTTGGATTTGGGCAGTTTAATCGAGACGTGTCGGCACACTCCAGTCCCCTTCGATATCAGAAAACAAGAAAGAACACTACACGGAGACCTGCTGGTGTTTCTGCACCTCTCATTAAATATTCATCTGCGCGAAAAATGTTTCTAACAGAAGCTGTAAAAAATAAGAACAAGTTTTATTTCCGATATACTTCCTTCTTTCGCGTTTTTCTGTTTTGGAAATAATCAAATTTGAGCGAATGCATCAGAATTGTAACGCCGTGTGTTCATTCCCCCCAAACATTTAATTTAACGACGGGTGAGGCTGAGCCTCTTGACACTGCACCAGCTTCTGATGGTGAGTCAGTATGAGGCACTGGCAGAATGAGAGCTCGGGGAGCAATATCCTTTCCGGGTGCCGTTTTACTAACTCAGCCTGTCATATCGTCTCCTGCTTCTTACACCAGCTCCAAAATTCATTACCTTATTGATATGAGCCGTCAGTGGATCGAATTCTGAGCCACTTAAATCCACGTACATTACTTCCGCAAGTTTCACTGTAATATTATCCTCCGAGCGGTTCCCACATCTCTCCAGTCCTCCTTCCAGGTCTTCTGGTTAAAACGTTTTATGCATTATCTAACCCTGCCTCATTCTAAACAAAACAAAAAACAAACTCCGTGGCCTGTAGTCTGCAAGCGAACCATACCGACCGAGCAACCGCAGATTGTCGGCGAAGTTTAATGCCAACTTTAGCGGATATGTGTCGCGTGGTCAGCGCAACGAATTCCCACGGCCGTTAATTTCGGTTTTCCAGACCGGAGCCGCTGTTTCCTTGAAATAGCTCCTCAATTGTCATCACCAGGTTGAGTGGACCCCGTTCCAGACCCACTACTTCTCAGGAAAAATCTGGTAGCGCCGGGAATCTAACCTGGACCTCTGGATCTGTAGCCAGGAACGCTGACCACTAGACCACAGAGGCGATGCATTTGGTGAGGAGTCTCTACAAAATATACACTATAAATCATAGCCTCCTTGCTTCCATTCTCCCCCCCCCAAAAAGACTTGAGACACCTGCATTACACATATCGACTTCCTTAAAAAGTAGCTTCAGGGAATTCCCGCGGCTACTCCCCGCTGCCTAGACCTGATACACTTCCTCGTTCTAATTCGATGAAACTATGCTTCCTCCAAGGCCATATACACACTGTCTGACGGCAATGGTTCGACTCCTGCTCTATAAATTTTCGTGCAAACATCAAGCAGAATGATCTTACCAAGAATTCGCTAGGCTGCAATCCATTTATGAATACAATTTCACGAACTGAAGATGTATTCCTTTTGTTTCGCTCAGGCTGTATGGCTTCTCACTTGCATTTGGATGCTTTCCATTCATCATTCATCAATCATCCTAGCATCTTGCACTTACGCAGTCTCCGTTAAGTAAACAACAAATAAACAAAACAAAGGAAGAAGGGTAAAGTAATGGCCAATTAGCAATGCCTGCTGTTCACAAGACAAATGCTGCAGAATAAGGTAATTCAGTGTATATTTTTGTAAGATACATACCGAGCCGTTGCAATGACAAACTGATAAAGTGATAGTATGAAGGTCCACCGAGTACAGCAATTTAATATTTAATGAGTCCTTTATATGTTTAGGCCACCACCACCTCCTGATGTTGGCCAATAGTGGCCGAAACACGTAAAGGGTTTATTAGATGTTAAATTTCTGCACTTGGTGCACCTTAATGCTTCTTAATTCATAGCAGCAAACCTACGTGCTTTTTCTGTTGTGCGGATCAAAGTAAGACTGACGGCCGAGCTGACGGAATGCCCAAATTTCAGTTGTGTATTTCCGATAAAAGAGGACAGCCAATGGAGAGTGGGAAATCTTGGTACAAAGGGAAAAGTTTCTTCAGTCAAACCATTTAAATTTTTAGCTCTGCACTTGAAGTCTAAACTGAAATAGTTATGAAATGCGAAAACTCGATTAAAATCGTGAACTGTGTGAAACACACTTGGTGGGGGCGGACCCCGTAATCTTGATGAGACTCTACAAGGCACTTATAAGGTCGAGGATGGAATATGGAGCAGTTCATTTCCATAAACTTAAGAAGAAACAACCGCAGAATTTGGAGAAGATATAAGACATGTGGAGCACTGCTACAGGAGTAGCACACCGACCAATGTAACGCTAGCAGAAGCCAAAGATATCCAAATTTGTAGTAGGCTCAAACAGTTGAGAAGGAACTATGTGTCCAGGTGTTATACTCGTACGTCAAGCAATCACCCAACGATCCAGCTGCTGGAAGAATTATCAGCTCTAGTAGACAATCCAACGAGAGGAGAAAATGACCAACCACTGATCAGCGAATATTGCAAAGAGGTAACCCCTCTCGGTCATATAATCCAATAAAGGAGCTGTCCCCTAGCATTCAACTACACATACGAAAGTCTCTTCCACGTGGCGGCCAGGGTATCCTTCTTTGAGGGAAGACAAATAATGGAAGCAGATCACAACGAGGTATTCGTAAAAACGCTAAAAAATGAGAATCAGCAAATGTCTCCCAACGGACGGCTCAAAAATGGAGGACAAACCATTCGTAGGGTTCGCATCGATAGATAGAGCTGATGGCATTAGCAGGAAATTCATAGCGTCTACATTCACATTCGAAAAAAAGACTCGGAACAAAATTTCGTGATTTTCTCTGACTCGGGAAGCGTGCTAAAAGGAATTAGTAACACAGCTACATTGAACAAGGCATCGCACATTACTCAGATGCCTACAGACTGGAGTCTCGAGGGAAAGAATCCAATTTTACTGGATCCCTGGGCCAACTGAATCGGAGGAAAAGCAGTCAGTTAGAGAAGGCAGAGACAGTCAAGTAAAGCCCAGTCTAAAGAGAAAGGCAAAGAACTTCACAGTTTCTGTCAAAACACCCAACGGGACAGAGGAGAAAGCTACTTTGAAAGGTGCTACAGGATGGCTCGTCTCCGTGGTTTCGCAAGATAAAAAAGAACCGTCCTGCCTCCGTGTCAGTAAGCCGCATGAGAGCAGGCCACTCCAGGCTTAAAGCAAGCCTAAACAGATTTAACGTTGTCACCACGGCTGAATGCGAACGTGGTGATGGGCTGCAAACGGTACGCGGACATTTTGTGTGAGAACAGCAGAACTGAATACCCAAAGTCAGTTACAGAGCTCTTAAGGCTGGAGGGACATTTGTGCAAGGCGTCTGTTACTTCATACACAAAATTCCTAAATTTATTTTAAAAAGTAAATATACAAAATATTAATTGTATACTCTTAGAGTTATTTTCAGATATATATTCAAAAAATTCGGGGGGCGACCGCTACGATAGAACAAGATGTTTATAAAACTGTACTACAGAGGGCGGAATGGGCACTGGTTAGGCCTTTCTTGTACATACACTTATTTTTCAAAATAAAAAGTGCATTTAGATGAAGCATAAAACAAAATATCACTGAAATGTCAATCTTAAAAACTTCGTAAAGCATGGAATTTTCAGCAAGATCTGAGTGCATTACTAGAATGTATGAAATGAAAACACAGTCTGAGTAATGAAAGTAAGTCACGTTTTCTTTTGTTATTCACTTAAGCCCTCTGTTAATACAGTTCTTAATCTGCTAAGGCGTAAATTGACATGTTATACTGAGTGTCCAATAAATAAAATTACATTTGTTTTCCCTTCTCAGTTTGCAGTTTGCAACCCTGAGCTTCTCCACAGTGTGTCAATGCTAATGAACATATAAAACAAAAATACAATCACAAAAAGAAATTTTGACACTTTCCTACTTTGTAACTTAGTACACTGTTTATTCACTTTTCACTGACTTGCCGAAGTTTTGCCACCCACATTTTTGGGGAGTCATTCCTCCTGACCCCCACCTGAGCAACAACTATCAACGAGTAATTCATTTTATTATTTTATCATTCGTGAGTTGAATAAGAGTTACTGTAACCATTTCAATCCTATGATTGACATATATGTATATAATTTTTTGATCAGCGCTTCTTCTGCGAAGAGAGACCTGTCCTGCCATCTCTTGACAATTATGTTTAACCACCTGCAGCTCATAAACTTAATTGTAAGTTGCCATGAAAATATGAAAAAAGTATTCTTATAAATAAAAGTAAGTAAAAAAAGTAAAGGGATCCCTATAACAGGCCGTTGAGGCCCATAGAGTTGTGAGATGTTGAGGCTCCAACATTTTCTACACAATCGGCTCATACATGGCGGCAAGGTTGTCAGCCCTACGCGCCGGCCGCCCTTTACCCCCAAGAACATTCCAGGAATGTTCCTGGTACTCATTTCTGTTAGAGGCTGAGTGGACCCCAGGGCCACAGTGCGGCTGGAAGTATTAGGTAAATTGGAAAAAAATCCAATGCCCTCCTCGGGACTTGAACCCGCAACGTTCCGGCTTGTAGCATAGTGCCTCAACCAACTACGTTACCGCGTGCCCCTATAGGAGAGATTATTCCACGATGAGATTACACTTACGGTTATATTCTTTTATTTCACGCATTCATGGTAACTTATAAATGAAATGTACACACTGCAACTAGATACTTGAAACTGTCAACATATGGCAGGACAGGCTTAAAGAGTTTCAGGAGATTATACAGTGCTGACACTGTGCTGAAAATAGAGGAATATGTGGGGAATTAAAACAGTTGAGTGTCTTGCAAGTAGAACTGACTGGTAACTTTGAAAGAACACTGAAATCAAATGCCAGTTTCACGACTACTTCTTGAAACCAACACCAGAGTGCTATACCACTTGAATGGCGTCTCTCGAAGAAATGGTTATGGGAACGTCTGCATTTCATCCTTTATCTTCTGCTGTGAACAAAATGAGGGCGTGTATTTAAAGCATTTTATGTAAATTAAGCATTAATTACATTCCTACACTATGAATGTCCTGTACCTCATTTCCAACACAATTCTGAGCTTAAAATATTTCCCTGAGAGCTCTGGTTTAAGCCTCTAAATGTGTGATCTTCATTTGGAAGGAAATATCAGACATTATTGTCCAAATGCAGCTACAAGAAATTACCATATGTGTGAGTCGCATAAAACATATGACAATGCAATATACAACATTAACACCACGACCAGCTGACCAAGTGATTCATCGTCCTCTGCCACAGAAGTCCACTGTTCTGCAATAATACAGTCTACCTACATAACTGAATTCTCTAAGAAGAGTTTTGACATGAAATCTCACCAAATCCTAAGTCTCCTATGCCAATAACTGATTTTTATTTAGTGTCTTTTTCACTCAATTTATGACAAAAAAAAAATATTTTAGTTTATAAACGTGAGGCACAAAAGAGCTCTAAACATGTTAGGATGGGTGGGAACACTAGAACGCCATTATTTAATGTCTGTATTTTGTTCTTTATTTATCGAACAACGCTTGATAAATCCCATTTTTTACTCAGAAACTACAAACAGTATCCTTATGAAAACATCTGGAAAGCTTATAAGGAAGCGGCCATGGCCTGTTTTACGATATTGTTCCGGAATTTTCCAGTAAATATTTTGAAAGATACTCAAAAGTTTCAATCATGATAGTTGGTATTAGGGTCAAGATTTGAACATGTGACCTTCCAGATATTCGGACGCCCCTCGTGCACACCAGGACATAATGTGAGAGGCAACGTACCGCCGTGATGCATCAGTTGTAGTCATCATAGTCCTGGTCCTTGCAGGCTGGTACCGGCAGACACGGTGCTGCCACACACTGCACCTGCTGCAAGTAGCACTGCTTGCCTGGCGGACACTCGTGCACGGAGCACGGACTATGGGCAGCATTGCAGTCATCTGAAACTGGGAACAACAGCAGGGCAGACAACTTAGTGCACAAGCAGTTTCAGTCATGCAATTAATTTCTCATTTTCATGGTTTTCAAGGCTATGAATATTGAGACTAGTCTTCTGGGTCTTGCAGGTGTATGTCAATGTTTCGGAGGAAGCTGCTGCCTCCATCTTCAGAGTCGACCCTTGGATGAATGTTTCTCGGGGACATTTAGTGTGTGTAAATATGTCCCTGTGATTTCATTACGAAACACACAGATATATGAGGAGCGGGGTTACAGCTCCACCACACTTAACCTCACCATTTCATGGAAGTGAGTGGTCACTTACACAACTGGCACACTGTATCCCTGGGACAAGAGCCTCCACTGCTCAGTGATACGAGGCTATGCGAGCACTAGAACGGTCTGCATCATATGCAGAAAACCATTTCTTGCCTCTGCCGGAAATCTAACCCAGGTCGTCCAGCCTCCTATTTAATGGGTACCGGGGGCCCTTTCACCTGGGGTAAAGCGACTGGGGCGTGAAGCTGACCACTCGTTTCCAACTAGTGCCGAGACAAATAAAACGTGGATCTATATATCCATTCCCCCATACGTCTTCATGGCGTAGTGTTTAATTAGTTAAGTACAGGGACAATTTCAACTTTTTTATAACTTTGCTACTTACATGGCGCGCACTTCTCCTCTACACAACAGCCACTGCAACACTCCGACTTGTGTATGCACTGCAACACAAACACAAACCTCACACATCGGCTTGATTCAAATGTTATTACTTCGTTTAAATGCCAGCGAAACAAGGATATAGCTGTGCAGGATGTGAGGCTCTCACAGCGGTCGTTATGAAGGGTTATCTTCTGGGATATAACACAGTGTAGTCAATTGAAAGGCAACAGACGTTTCGGAGGAACATGTCGCCTCCACCTTCAGCTCCACTCGCTACCTCATTCACGCTGGTTTCTTACTTGGCTTCCTCTTCGACCCTGAAGATGGAGGCGACATGTCTCTCCGAAATGTATGTTGACTTTCAACGGACTGCACGACGCTATGTCCCATAAGACTGAAGTCTTCGATAAAACGACATGGCTGACTCCATGAAGCAGCGGCTCTCTTACACAACCTTACAGTAGCAGAGATGGTTAAGAAATTCCTCACTTCTACAGGACCCGTTTGTTCATTGCTCCATTCACTGAAGTCTGAGACTGTGATTGTTCAGCCTCTTTGCTTTGGCCAATGCAGTTAAAGGCTTCAAGTCTGAAGTCAAAGTCACAATGTGACTGAAGGTCAGTCAGTTAGTAAGTCTTGCTGTCGAGCCCAGATTATTACTGTTTGACAGCTACGGTCTTGTTTCTGTGGAGCGCCCTCTCTAACGAGAGGACGGGTCTGTCTTTTGTATAGGCTGCTGGTCCTTGCCAGTGTTGTCTTTCTCGGGTCCGAGTCCATCGGGACTCGTGACCATATTTTTGTTTCCCCCCTTGGCACTACAGCCCCAGTGGGCCTACGCCTACCTCCATGAACTTCTCCGTTCACTTCGGTTTGTCTATATCTTACACATTCGGTATGACTCCTTGGGCGGGTGATCAGCTCGTCGCAAGGCCTCTACCTGTACACAAACTAAACATCCATGCCCTGAGTAGGATTCGAACCCATGATCCCGGCTTCCGAGCGAGCGAAGACAGTACATGCCTTAGACCGCTCGGCTACCGTGACCATATTTTACTGTCTCAGATTTGAGACTTCCCTTTTCGTCGCCTCTTACGACTCGCAGGTTCACGGTGGAGGTATTCGACCCCGCCTCCACACAGGGTTGAAGTCTGAAGGTTGTTTAAATATTATATAAACATTCAGTCCTTACCTCACAGGAAACAACTCCGTCTCTGTTACAAAGACCAGTCAGTTAATACTCTTTAGGGATATAATCGCTGTTAACTGCGTGAGCAAAATGCAGAGTTCTTTAATGTTAAAGCAGATGGTATATATAGTTACCATTATGCGTAAAAGCTTAAACTTCTAAAAAATGGAGTAATGGTTACTCCCATTTGCGTATAGATCTTCCTACTGGTCTCTTTCCCAATTACTAATTAACCTTAATTACATCTATGAAGTATGTTATCTATTATTTTATGTCTGCAATATAAGGTAGCTTTTTATTACCAATCTACAGGCCTATGACTGGCAATTTCGCCAGTAGCATTTCTTGCGCCCTTGGAAGGAAGGTGCACGGACTCCTGGTGGGCCGCGGATCCCAGTTTGGGTAGCGACCACTGGGGAAGATCGAAACGTACAACAGAAAATGTCCAACACATACAACTATTGACCGAGCAGACTGGTACAGTGGTAACACTCCAGATTCGTATTCGGGAGGTTCTCGGTTCGAATTCTGGCCGAGACGCCGGCTATCCTAACAGCGTTTTTCGTGGTTTTCCGTAGTCTCTCCTGGAAAATGTAGGGGTGGTGTATTGATTAGGTCACCACAGCTTCCTTCCAATTAGTCATCCCAGCATTCTACGCTACAACCCACAGAAAATAACAGTGTAATGAATGAATCAGTGTTGCAAACCTGCAGAGCAAAATTTACCACTGAATTAAATCTGAGATTTATATAAAGGAATGGTCTATGATTACGAAATTTGAAGATCGACATTTCTGTGGTCAGACTTACTGTGTGACTATCTTTAATACACTCCGCTGGGGAGGCTGTGTCAACAATTAGCAGTGATGCCAACATCAAAACTCCGCTTGCCACGATCATCATCGAGAAATGATTCATCTTGAGGGCTCTGAAATAAATAAAAACTTCAGACAAAACAGCCTTATAACACTCCTGACATAAAACTTTAATGTAATTGTCATTTGCAATGAAACTTTTGTGATCTGACAAAATTATGAGCTTCGGGTTAAGAAGGCCGAAAAGGGGAAAAGCAGAATAACCACAAAGCGTCCACAAGAACTTTCATTTTCGTTCATTATGGCCCTGGGGTCGACTCAGCCTCTATAAATAAGTACCAGGAATCTTCCTGGGGGTAAAGGGGGGCTAGCCAGCTTGTAAGACTGACAACCTTACCGCCATCTGTGAGGCGATTGTCTAGAAAATGTGGAAGCCTCGACGTCTCACAGACCTACGGGCCCCCACGGCCTGTTACAAGGATAGTTTTAACTTTTACCTCCTTTTACCATGGCGAACTGAGACTTACTTAGCTGTTAGGGGTAAAGGGGGGCTAGCCAGCTTGTAAGACTGACAACCTTACCGCCATCTGTGAGGCGATTGTCTAGAAAATGTGGAAGCCTCGACGTCTCACAGACCTACGGGCCCCCACGGCCTGTTACAAGGATAGTTTCAACTTTTACCTCCTTTTACCATGGCGAACTGAGACTTACTTAGCTGTTAGGCACTCCTGACCCGCTTCATTGCCTTGAAGTGCAGACAATGACTTAGTTCCATTTGCCTCGGTGTTTACGTGTTCACGAAGCATGTGTCTTTGCTTAAGAGATTGGCTAACACTCTAACAATGTCCTCGTCACTTTGGCGTTCCTTAGAAGCGGATGAATACAGTTCACTTTAATTTACGCATACAACGCACTATTTCTTTGCTCTGTGATTCATGTAACGATGCTCTATCGACTTCACAGGCTATGTTGCTTCCAACGAAATGATGAATGTACGAGTCACAGAGAATATCTTGGAAAGGTGTACAATCCCTTGAGATCCTAGAGGCAGTGAAGGGAAATCGGGGGAAAGGGGATATATCAGTTCCAAGTTTCGTGCGTCGAAGTTGTCCAGGGCCTGAGTAATGCTCACTAGCCTGGGTATTCACGAGAGATCTGAGGTTCTAACGGCTGCAGCAATGAAGGCTGATTTCTTGCAGTGCGTGATTCAGTGTGTTCCTAGTGAGTTAATGTATGAGACTGCCAGTGGCGAGGCTACAGCGTCGAGGGTTTGGATGGCAAATGAACAAGGAATCTGAAGGAAAAGGAACGCAGTGAGTCTGACTTAATCCAGGTACTCTACCGGCAAATTCTGGGAGAGACTGGGGAACACCATGAGAAATGGCAGCCAATATGGCCGGTACATGACGGAGATTCGAAACGAATGTCTTCCGACTATAAGTCAACAATGTTACGGTAGGCCAACCCATGCGGTGTGACGCCGTACAGTCTGGTATATAATTAAAATATTTTAGATTAATCTGGGGCACGCGGTAGCGTAGTTGGTTGAGGCACTATGCTTCAAGCCGTTAGGTCACGAGTTCAATTCCCGATGAGGTTCATTGGATTATTTCCAATTGACCTAATCCTTCCAGCCGCACTATGGCCTTAGGGTCGACTCAGCCTCTAACAGAAATGAGTACCAGGAATCTTCTTGGGGGTTAAGGGCGGCCGGTGCGTAAGGCTGACAACCTCACCGGGCCTCCACGGCATGTCACAGAGATAGCTTTACTTACTTTGCTTTAGATTAATCTATTTTCTTCATTTTCGGGTTAATTCACGTTCGCTCCTAAGTTCTGTTAACCACTGCAAGGTGAAGGTACAGCTATCCCTGTAACAGGTTGTGAGGCATCGAAGCTCCCACATTTTCTAGACAATCAACTCACAGAGGGCGAGGTTGTCAGCCTTACGCGCCGGCCGCACTTTACCTCATGTAAGATTCCTGGTACTCATTTCTGTTAGAGGCTGAGTCGACCACAGGTACACAGTCCGGCTGGGAGGTTCAGGTCAATTGAAAAATTTAGTGACCTCATCCGGAATCGAACCCGCGACATGCCGGGTTACGGCATAGTGTCTCAACCAACTGCGCTACCGCGTGCTCCACAACTGTAAGGTAGTTAAAACAAGGGTAGGCGACTGGGAGGAAAGGGAACGCGAGAGAGCTTACTTCAGGGGCAGACTGGACAGAACGTAAATTCTTAAGAGTGATAAGACCTAAAGAGAACGGCCATAAAATATTTATTTTCTGGTTAATGGCGAACTGTATAATTTGTAAAGATAATCTGGTGGGCGCCGGTCACGGTAGCCGAGCGGTCTAAGGCATGTACTGCCTTCGCTCGCTTGGAAACCGGGATCGTGGGTTCAAATCCCACTTAGGGCATGGATGTTTAGTTTGTGTGTGCGTTTTTCTGTGTTTGTGTGCAGGTAGAGGCCTTGCGACGAGCTGATCACCCGCCCAAGGAGTCCTACCAAATGTGTAAGATCTAGAAAAACCGAAGTGAACGGAGAAGTTCATGGAGGTAGGCCTAGGCCCACTGGGGCTGTAGTGCCAAGGGGGGGGGGAAATCTGGAAGGCCCAACGGCAGTTCTGATTAATGAGATTCGAGCAGATTGGTTAACACTTCCCGTTTTGCAGTTGATGTTCGCATTACAAATGTACACATTTCACTGGCCGAGTTCTCACGCGTCCTGCCCCCAACAGCACCCACTACAACTGCAGGGCGTGCCTCTACATACCACATTCAAATGTTTACGAACTGGAGCATGAATTAACTCTCAGACCGGATATCCGCTTAACAAACACACACAGTTTCACCTCAGTAAGTTCTGTCGCGATGCAGATTAAAGAGTCCACAACTGCTACACAGCCTGCTCTCTGCCACGGATCCGCTAATATTGCTTACACTCCAGCTACTATTGGAACGAAGTCGTCAGCCAAAAGTCACTGGATGTTATTTTCAACATATTTCCAGAATTCATACGCCGGTGGGAAATTGAAACGCACCTACACAGAATATTTCTTCCGCAAGGTTGTCCACCCAGGACCGCCTCTTTGGTCTAGTAGTCAGAGTTCCTGACTACAGATCCAGAGGTCCCGGGTTCGATTCCCGGCGCTACCACATTTTCTAGAAGTAGTGGGTCTGGAACGGGGTCCATTCAGCCTCGTGAGGATAGTTGAGCTATTTCAAGGGAAAAGCAGCTCCGGTCTAGAAAACCGAAATTAACGGCTGTGGTGATCCGTTGCGCTGACCACGCGAAACTCTCTATCCCCTAAAGTTGGCACTAACTTCACCGACAAGCGGCGGTCGCTCGGTCGGTATAGTTCGCTTGCGGACTATAGGCCACGGAGTTTAAGGTTGCCTACACAAGATATGACGTAGCCTGGCTCTTACAGTAGATGAATTTCAGCATTGCAAATGGTTGGAACGTTCCCTACCCCCCATATTCTATGCCAATGGGGCAGCAAAACTCCGAAGCATGTTACAAGCCGGAAGGTCGTGGGCTCAAGTCCCGATGAGGTCACTGGATTTTTCAATTTACCTAATCCTCCCAACCGCACTAAGGCCCTGGGTTGGACCCAGCCTCTAACAGAAATCAGCACCAGGAATCTTCCTAAGGGTAAAGGATGGCCGGCGCTTAAGGCTGACCTCACCGCCATATGTGAGCCGATTGTCTAGAAAATGTGGGAGCCTCGACGTCTGACAACCCTATGGGCCTCCACGACCTGTTACACGGAGAGCTTTACGTACCCTGCCTTTCGCCGTCCACAATACGCCTTTGCCAACTTCATACAAACGCAGGTGAAGTTGGGTTCCGCATATAACGCGTTTTGGGAGAGAGGGACGCTGACAGTTGCCACGATGATAGATTAATGAAGAATTGGAAGGGATCTGGAAGGAAGAGTCGAGGCATAATCAACTGTGTTATTTTGAACCACTAAAAGCCTTGCTGAGGACATCCAGTGCCCAGTCGGGTTCCGAACCAGGCACGTCCGAATATGGGTCAAGAGCCTTACCGCTAGGCCAACCCTTTTCTGAGAGTAGGAACAATGTTACCACGTCACTCCCTGTTCACGAACAAGGCTCCCTGCTGGAATAGAGACTTTCACGCCAACTTGTAACCCTAGTTGTCAGTAATATTGGAGTGTATTGTTATATACATGTTTCAAGATCACGAGTAAGTTCTGCCACTTCAATGGCCCCTGTTCTCAAATTTAACTCTCTCTAGCGCCTATCACGGAATATTTATCTGTCTCGGGCTGTAACGTGTTCTGTCACTGAAATAAATTAGAGGCAAGTCCATAATTAGCTCTCGAGGCCAAATCCTGGTATAATTGGAATTGTTACGTCTCGTTACGCAAGCGCTTAACACTTGTCAGAGCAGACTCCACAAATTGCAGACTTCCTATGTCAGAGGTTCTCAGACAAGGTGACAGCGGGAACCTAAATAGTTTACAGCCTCTTTACACCCACAGTAAACTATAAAATGTTCATGTACAGTCACGAAAAGTCTTTAGTGTCTGGGAACACCACCCGGCATGCCATTTAGCCCGCAACCATTCCGAAAATGACGAAGAAATAGATCGCAATGGTTATGCCAGGAATTGAAGCCAGACGAAATTGTAAGAAGGAAACTCGTTTAGGTTAGAAAGTTTCAAGTTTGCCACGCGAGAGTCTGAATGTTACATGCTGAACATAAATACTGTATTCCGTACCGTGTAACTCTCATAAATAAGCCTTCGGATACCAAAACGCTGGGCCCCTTTCTTCTTCTAACTTAGACTGAGTTGATTTGGGTCCAGTTTAATCTGCTTTCGTTTTACACGGTAAGATGTGTTTCTCGTAACATCATACCCCCTCCCCAACAACTGAACGATTTTCACAAAACTCTGTATGAACAGCATACCACTATTACCGCAATATCCGAGAACTGTTATCACCTTGAGTTGAATACATGGAGCTGAATGGAGCAGCGCAAATTGAGGAAACGGCAACGCAACTCGGCGGAAGACTGGAAAACTCCACTTCCGGGCAACGAAGCATTCCAATCTTCTCAGAACTGCGCTGCCGCGGGGTTTCCTTGTGTCAGCTCTTCTACAACGCGCTTCAGTGATTCATTTGTTTATGATTGCACAAAAGGTTGACGAAGCTGCTAATTTTGTTTTTGTGCAGTTAATTGAGCAAGAGCCTGTTATATGTATATGACAAACGCCACCCAGACTGTGCTATGCGGGACGACGTAGATTTGGCTCGGGAAACAATTTCTCATAAGATGAAGGAGTCTGGTCCGGGGTTAAGTTCTTTTGAAACAACACAAGCGCCTCAGTTTATGTCATAGAAGAAACGTTCCACCCAATGTCTTCTTTTCTTAATATTACATTTAAGCATTCTGTTGCATTAACATATCATTCATTTCACATATATTTCCGCCTTAAATGAAACTTATTGTATAGTCACCCTTCTTCCGCATTACACGGTTCGGCTATACGTGTTATACGGCCATCATCAGGTGTCTTCTGTCTTGTTAAAACTGTTGCACTGTATGTCAAAATTTCGTATCGTGTGCATTTCCTGATTAAAATAAACTGACCTTAATTAAAATAAATTTAATTAACCTCCCAATATTTCCTTTATGGTCGTCGTCCTCTCTGCTCAAGCCGTCTCAACCGGGCTCAACTACCACCGTATTATGACGGTATGACTGCACAAGATAAGTGCACGAAATTAAACAATACAGTCATGCATTTAGCCAGACGATGTGAGCAACTACAACATGCGCCTGCTCATTTGGAAACCAGTTCCCTGTTTGAAATCGGCGACATTTCTTGGAAATTTTGGTTGCTTTTCGGTTGCCAGTTTCCTTGGCGTGCCCTCGGCCTAAGTCTTTCCTGTGCCAATACAAACACGACGTCCGCCAGAACTTCTGTGGTGGCAGAGGCAGTGGCGTTGAGACCGCTGAGAAACCCTGCTCGTCTACCATGCTGATGCGAGTGTTGTAAAATTCAAGCTACCTTCACGTTTCGTAATACCATCAAATCACAAATACGCCATAGTAACTGATATACTGTTAGTGAATAATCAGTATTGTATTACCTTCCATCGCCGTCTAAATAACATTGTCTTAAGACGAGAAAGTGAATTATATTTATTAAACATAACAGACATACTTCTCACATAAAAACACACACCGATATACTAGCAGCAGCTTTTAACAAAGAGTTACTATAATCGGGTCATTTCTTCCAACTTACATGTGTCACTTCTCTGCGTCACTTCTCTGCGTCGCAGAGACATGTAAACAAACTGAACCACCCACCTGACCAGGAAGCAGAATTGTGTGTATCACTCGAATCGAGCCGAAACCCACCAAATTCTCACAATCCACGCTCAACTGTCACAGGCAACTGCGTTGCAACACCTGAAGGCGGTTTAACTGTGAGGAGCGGCAGGAAATCAAACTAGTTAAGGAATCATACAGGCCACAATGACGTCATTCCTAAACAAACCAGAGAGGTAACCGCGAGCGGTCAGGTGGCCATGAATACTTCACTCCAGCTGATGTTCGCGTGTTAGGTTGAAACTGCGTGTCCCACTTCATGCCCAACGCATACAAATGTCTCTCTTTCATGGTTTCTTTGCAAGTTGACAGTGGCGTTCCGTTTTCCAGAAAATTACGGATCGGGTGCCATCCAAGTAGACTGTTCTTTTTAGACTAATTATGACAGCAAGTCTTCTTGGATGTAAAGTAAGTAGGATTTCTGGTGGACAAAGTGGCACAGAGGCGGGTTCTCTCCGAGTACTTCGGTTTCCCCTGCCAATCTTCATTCCACCAAATTCTATCCCTGTAACAGACCATGAAGGCCCATAGGGTTGTGAGACGCTGAGGGTCCCACATTATCTAGACAATCGGCTCAAAGTTGGCGGTAAGGATGTCAGCTTTACGCGCCCTCCGCGCTTTACTACACAGGAAAATTATTTAATTAATTCCTGGTATTCACTTCGTTAGAGGCTGAGTCGACCCCAGGGCCATAGTGCGGCCGGAAGGATTAGGTAAATTGAAAAAAAAAAAATCCAATGGCCTCATCGGGACTTGAACCCGCGACCTTCCGGCTTGAAGCATAGTGCCTCATAAAAGACTGAGTGGTTTTCAGACCGTTTATCATCATCATCATAGGCAAAACATCCCTTTTTGAGCCATCCGTCGGCACAACAAGCTACGTAAGCAGAACTAGGCACTAATGCTACAATCAGTCGTATTTCAAATCGTTTCATCTTTGTTAAAATTCGTCATCCCGAAGATGCCCATCTACACCATTGGTCCACAGAACTTTCTGAATAAGGACTCTCGTAGTTTTCACCAAACCTTCATGCCAGCCCAAAATTTTATTTATAATAAATGCATCCGTTTGCACTCATGTCACTGTTCATTATAATCTAACGCGTAATTAGTACCATACGAAAACTGAGTTAAAGTTGAAATTCTTAAAATTAAAATGCTGCGCGGTGCTCTTCGTTCAGCAACAAATAACTTTGAGAGATGCTGAAATGAAGTCCTACTGCGACTAGCGTGATCCTGTAAAGTTTTGTGACAACGGTCTCTTTCTCAGTATGAAATCCTCGTTGAGACACTGTCCGCCATGTCCGATGTAATTACATTTACGTTTCGGAAGGTGGAACTGTTTCCGTCATCAGGCATAGAAGTTGTAACGATACTACTCGATTGGGCCCTTAATATAGCTTAGACGCTTGCGAATGTCCAAAATAATTCTGACTGTTCACGGAAGAGTTAAAAAGTTATTTTTGATTAATTTTACTTTAACATTTTTTTTCTCGTGGTCTCTCAGGACGCGAACCGGTAACTACGCATGTCCCAGTGACCAGGCGAATGGGCGTGGACGTAAGAGGAAATCTGTGGAAACATGGAAGAATGAGAATGGCTTTGGGAAGTGACCAAGCACAGAAGAACATTCATGGATCATAACGCATTTTTTATCTGTGACATGTTTATTTCGCGCGAGAGCAGGGTGCTTCACAACACCTAAAAATATTGTATCATGTAGACCCGCTGCTAAGTAAAGACTCTGTAAACAACACCCGTTGCTAGGCAACAGATTCCTCACACGCACCAATGGACTAAATGGGAAGCGGTGTTCTCTACGTGGTCTGTGCGACGGCTTCGTGACGCAATAACAGAACTATCGGAACGGTGTTTTCTGTGCGGTCCGTGCCGAGATGTTATAAGCAGACTGCTGCTGGAGTTAGTTCAGTCAGTTGACCCGTGTGGAGGTGGTGTCGAATACCTCCACCGTGACCCTGCGAGTCGTAGGAGGCGACGAAAAGGGAAGTCTCAGATCTGAGAGAGTAAAATATGGTCGCGAGTCCCAAGGGACTCGGACCCGAGAAAGAATGCGCTGGCAAGGGCCAGCAGCATATACAAAAGACAGACCCGTCTTCTCGTCAGAGAGGGCGCCCCACAGAAACAAGACCGTAACTGTCAAACAGTAATAATTATCCGGTCATGAGCCCAGATGGGGCTCGACACCAAGACTTACTAACTGACTGACTGACAGTCTGTCGCAATGTGACTTTCACTTTCAGTTAGTTCAATGGACAAGGAGAAGCCCGACACAGAAAGTATAAGAGGCTTAACTTGGCGGCGGTCAGGCATACGCCCGTTCAAGTGACTAGACTGCCGTGGTAGCAAATACTTATAGAAATAGGGCATAGTCTGCTGTACTGAGCCTGGACTGACAGTACGATTAAATTTGTAAATATATGTAAATACTGACAACGGACTTACTAACACAGGCTATGACTGACGAATGACAGACCCAACCTCTCGTCAGAGAAGGCGCCCCAAATGGACAGGACAGTAACTTTCATATAAGAAGAAATATCTGATCATGAGCTCCAGCTGGGGCTCGACACCAAGACAGACAGACTGACCGACCGTCAGTCGCAATGTGACTTTGACTTTGACTTGAGTTAGTTCAGCCCAGTTGAGTGAAGTGAAGTAGTTCGTTGGTGAGTGAGTGAGAGAGAGCTCAGGTTGTCCTTGTGAGGCTGTTTCTGTTAGAAGCCGGTAGCTGAGACACGGGGTTTGTTTGGGAACCCAGAGGGGACGTCCGCCGTTGGAAGTCGCTACCAGCAACGACTAGTGAAGACAGCAGACTGAGAAGTCCTAGTGCATGCTGTAGTGTACTGCTCAGTGTGTAAATTAGCGATAGCGCTATAGTTACTTGTAGTTATGATCTGTAAGTGTTCAATAAATCCGATTACCAATCCAAACCACGTCTGTAGTCACCATACACGTGACAATATTGAACGTACGTGAACACAACAATGGACCTTCTAGTTCCACAAGACTGTGTGGAGGAGCAAAGAACAACACCCAAGACTCTATACCAGGAGTGGGCATTAATTACTTTTACTAGGGAGCCCAAGTGACCAGAGGGTCACAAGAAAAATTCAGTGTGTGAGTTCCCAAATTCTCAAAGCCGTGATGTTGAAGATTGCTGTTGTCTGGAATATAACATCTTGTAATCTGGTAACATTTTACAGACATTTCGAAAGAATGTACTGCCTCTTTCCTTGCTCATCGTACTCTTTAACCCTGAAGATGGAGGCAGTATGCTCCTCCGAAATACTGGTACAATCTACACTGCATCATATCACAGAATACAGTGCACTTTGAAAACTGTTAAACAGCTATCAATTCTTCATGCCGATTGGCTAGATACATCAAGAGACAGAAACCTTAAAAATTAACCGCGACATGTATCCAGAAATCTGATTGCTGAAGCAAAGCTGCTCTTGAGCTTCCTTCGGTACAATACCATGAAGCTATATGGGGTAGTGAAAGCATGAATTGACACATTCTACCCTCTGCACTTGTAGCGGAGGTGAGCGGTCTTCTTTACCCTAAGGAGACCAGGCCCCGGTACAAATTGGGTAGAGGGCTGGGTGGGCCACACAGCCAGTATGGCTACTGTGGAGAAATCTTTGTCCCTGCCAGGAAAACCTGGTTCATTGGCTGTCCAGCCCAAAACCTAGTCACTATTCTGATTGAGCGTCCTAGCTCCTCTCTCATGGGTGATCTCATGAACTAAATATAATTTGGAATGGGTTCAAATGACTTTCTTATATCCAGCTTTATAGTAAATATTTATATTAGGGCCCAAAATTTTCCACAGAAATTTGGATTTATTTTCTGAGCACATTACATTCTATGTTATATGGATGAGAAAGTAAAAACAACTAATGGAAGCCATATAATTTATATCAAAATAATGACAAAGGCCCAGTATTTACATGGGCAGTAGTCTACTCACCCCAGCTATATACCATGTATTTTACTTAACAATACTGTCAGTAACTCAACTTATACATTATTAAATGGTGTGTGTGTGTGTGTGTGTGGGGGGTATAATAAACAGATGTGGATGTAAAAGATTATGACTATTTCTGGATACTTGGTGTCCCAGCTAAGATTTGAACTGGAAACCTCAAAAATAAATGAGAAGCACAACTGCTTTAGTCAATTTGCTAGATTATCCTAAATAACTGATGACTTTAACATAGCACAATTGGTAGTACCATTGTAATGCAGTGTTTATTGACAGAACATGAAATACAAAATGTTCATTACCAATGTAGACAAACTGAAATACAGCAGGACTTAGGTAACAACTCAGTGTTACAGTTTACATCTCCATGTTGAACTCAAGCTCAGAAAAAAAAAATATAGCATTTGGTTCTGTGCTAATATAAAGTGCAACTTCTATTTCACACACAGACACCTATTCCAACTGTAAATTACAAGAAAATTAAACAAACAAATTGGTCACCATAATAAGATACTGCCTGCAGAACAAAGTTTGTTTTTGCTGTGATAATGAAATAGAACACATGAAGCTCTATCATAAGTTCCTCAAGCACATAAGCCAAAGCATAAGGACAAACTATCATACAGACACACTTCACTAATTCACCTACAGTTCTGCAGTCACTTAGTCAGTTTGATAGTTTGTGGTTTTGCAGTTTCTTCTGCCATTCCTTTGCAACTGTTGCAAAGCAGAAAACCACAAAATATGTACTTACACAATTAAAACCCACTTACTAATTGAGAAATTTTAAACTGACCACTATTAATTTAAATCATGTAACCTCATATAACTCCACGATTTCCACAGAAAATTGCATATTTACATAATAATCTTACTAACAACCATCACTTTATAAGAAATACTGTGTTCATTATTCTACTGGGTTTGCAACTAAATTTCATTAGGATCATATTACATAGCTACAAACAGTCTTGCTTTCCAGTATACAGAGTTGGATTCATTAACAGTGCCCACTGTATCTAACTAGGGCTTGTCATCTGTAAATAAAATTCTGCTGGTGAGGAAATCTTTTTCAAGCTGACAATACGAAGGCTGGAACAAGACAAACTACGGTCAATACAAGATCT